AGCACCTCCCAATTCCCACAGCGAAATCCTAAATACAATCCAAAACCAAAGTATCTCCCAACACAACACCAAACCCCAAGGCACAAGACAAAATCCGAAGCACCGCCCTGACCCCACACCTCACATCCTATACCCCCCCCTACACTTTCACCCCATTTCTCAACCCGCCTAAGATTTCAACCCTTCCAAAACCACAATACACAAAGTACCTCCCAAATCCGACGCCGAAATCCCAAATACAATCCAACACACAAAGCACCTCCGAATTCCCACACCGAAATCCCAAATACAATCCAAAACACACAGCACCTCCCAAGTCCCACACCGAAATCCAAAGCACAAAGCACCTCCCAACACAACACCGCGCAAAACAAAATCCGAAGCACCGCCCTTACCCCACACCTCATACCCTATACTCCCCCCTACACTTTCACCCCATTTCTCAAACCGCCTAACAAATCCACCCTTCAAACCGACAAAACACAAAGCACCCCCAACAATCTAAACAAAGATGTGCAAAGATCCATAGCACAATCCAAAACAAAGCCATCTCCCACAACCAAAAGCGAAGATCCAAAACACAAACCTTAAACCAAAGCCACTACCTCAACCCATAACCTTATCCATTCTACACTTTCTACACCCAAACTTTAACCCAAAACTTTTACCACCAACCCTAGCCGAAGCAACCACCTATACCAATATCCTTATCCACTCTATAACCCTAAACCATAACCAATCACCAAATCCTTAACCTTATCCATTCTATAACCCAAGTCATAGCCAATACCTCAACCCATAACCTTATCCATAATACAACTACTCTAATGGCATGCACTGGGAATGATGGGTGCTCACTCAAGCCTTGCGACCCCGCTAATAGAAAACCCCATCTATACCCCCCACACGCTTTACCCCAATTCTAGAACAGTATCCTACCTTACACCGCAATACCGAAACTATCCAAACAACACTTGCTTCTCCCAGCACAGAAGAGGGAGCCCAGGAGCCACAGCTGGCTAGACAAATGGAGATATCGCGCAGTATTGCAATCCTCTCATGAGCAATAGTTGGTGCCATGGCCGTGATCGGCCAAATGATTCGCTGCCGCTTCTGCTGCGCCGGCCGTCAGCGCAGAGGCCCGGCTTGACTTGTGGTCTCTTGTGCTACTACCCTCTGCGCTGCCCTTGCAGTGCCCCACGTTGTTGACTGAAGTATTCGTGCATAGTTCTGCATCCTTGGTGCCTAAAGGGGTACAGAAGCCACGCGTCAGCGGCTGTCGTTCAAGCCTGCAGTGTAGAGAATCCTAACCCGTGAGCCATGGCTGCACCTGTGCCTGCGCCACCCGCTCTTGGTGATGCGAATGCGAATGCCCTTGTGCACGCTGTCCCTGCGGGCATGGGGCCTGCTGCGGTGGGAGCCGCGCTGAAAAAGAGGAAGATTGTGGAAACTCTGGAAAGTGCCGGCCGTACAGCCCTACATGAGCTTGGGGAATATCGCACGCATGAGCATAGAGTTGCAGCGCTGCATGATGCCGGTGGAGCTGTAGCCGGTGCTGCTGCAGGTGGAGGGGCAGCGGCTGGTGCACCTCCATGGTTTGCGGCTGCTATGGCCACTCTGCTGGCTCGCCTGGACGCGGCTGACGCGCGTTCGCGAAATGCAGGCTGCCGGCGCAATGGTGATGCCATCGTTCCTCTACCGTCAACAGTGGTACTCGGAGCTGCCGTCCCAGCAGCCTTTCCGGCAAACCTGGGCGCCTTACGCAGGCTGAACAATGCCCAACTCACAGCACTGGAGAACTTCTATGGGCTTCTTGGAGCGGGCACTCAGAGAACTCGCAAGCAAGCTTTAGGACTCCACCTGACGGGCATTCGCGATCTTGCCTGACTTCGTAGTTTCACAGAGCGCACTTCACGGGGAAGCGTCGTGCCAAACAGTCTGTGCAAGTTGATTGATAGGAAGCGCAGAGGCCAGGTTACAGGCTGGCTTGGAGCTGTGGTTGCAACTTTGACAGGTGAACATGAGCGTCAACAGCATTCTCTCCGAGAAGCACGAGACAAGACCCCTTCGAGAGTAGGTTTAGGGGTCTATAGGTTTCGTTCTGAGAGGGATTTTTTGCGCGTATCGGGTTCTGGTTATCGTTGACAGCGAAGGCGTTTGCGTGGAGACTTGCTGGCTGGGGGTTTGAGGTCTTAGTCCTTGGATTGGTAGAGCGTTTAGATTAGGAGGGTTTTTAAGGCTGCTTGTTGTGCCTTGTTTTGTGCATTTTTGGTGAGCAACGTTGAAGTCGAAACCATAAATTCAAAACTCAATGTAGGAATACAGCATAAGGAGTGGAGACTCGTTTTGCAAGCCCGAATGATATTTCTCTTGTTCACACCTTTTTGCAGCAACTCTACGTAAACATTTTGCAAAGCAAACTGAAACACAAAATGACAGACACAGCACAAATAATGCATAAATGCCGTTTCCAACTGGTGTTCTACACCTTTAACAATTCGTGGCGTAAATATCCCCTCTTATCATCATCCAAATGATAATATGTTTGTCCTAATTTCTTATCAATGCGCTTTACTGCTTGGGGATTTTTAACCCAATGCGAAGTGCGTTCTTTTTCACTAATGCCTTTTTTTGCGCATTATTTTAACACTATCTCCCACCTCTATTTCGGGGTATGTTCTACTACGCTTTGCTTGTAAAGATATATTCAATTTAACTTCAAATTCATTTTTCTTTTTCCTTGCTTCTAATGGTGTCATTTTTGTAGTTGATGAAACCATTTTATTATTATATGTTAATAATATCTTCAAATTATAATCTATCCACTGGCTATTTTGCTTACCTTTTTTTCATCTGCTTCAACCCGCTTAAAAAGCATATCTTTATAGGTTCTTATAAACCGCTCCGCGAATGCTGGATGTCCTTTTGCTCTGTGTATCTCAATTTTCTCACCTTCTAAATATTCTATAATGGTTTTACTATACAAACTCCCTTCTTCATCACTGTAAAACAT